CCCCGTTGCTGCCGCTGCCGGCCGGTACCTGCTGCGTGTCACTGGCCGGGATCTGCTGGAAGCGCTCACATGCCTGCCAGAAGTAGACGTTCTCCGCGCTGAACTCCTTTTTGAGGAACTCCTGCGGGGCAGAGAGGGCTGCTGGCCTGGCCGGCACTGCGTCCTCGCAGGCCAGGGCCCAGCAGGGAGCAGGGAGCGCAGAGCACGCGGACGCTGGGCCCTGCTGGGAGCTTGGCTCCAGGTGAGGAATTCAAAGCATGTGGGGACTCTCGGCTTCACAGACACAGATGGGAAGGGTAATGGGGAGGACAGCCGGGACAGTCAGCTCTGGGGTGGCCAGGCTTGTAGACAGCACTGGACAAGGGCTGAGGGCCCAGGGACAGCAACGTCACCAGGACACCAAGGGTGAGTGTTGGCTGCAGGGACTGCTCCTGCTGATGAGGTCGGGACCTAGTTCCGGGCTGTGGCACTCACAGTGAAGTAGGTGACAGCTACACGATCTTGGAGCAGCGTCTCAAAGGACTCGGCCCAGCTGACCACGGACTTCTGCGTGGAGCTGCACGTGCTCGGCGGTCCTGGCAGGCTGTTCACGCTGTGGTTGCTGCCACGGGCCCTGGAGGCATTTAACTCTGAGAGAGGGAAAAGGTCAAATCTGCCTGCCTGGAAACTGCCCGGGAGCGCTGGGACTGAGCCAGCCAACGGGGCATCCTCCAACCCCTGCCCCTGCCCCCGCATCCCAGCCCCAGTATGTGCAGCAAGTTCAGCTGCCCCATCCTGGGCACGAGCTGGCAGATCAGACGGCCCTGAGGTCCCAAGAAAGGAGCGAGCAGAGCAGAACTGTTGCTCCCTGTATCACGGCAGCATCCTCAGAAGATGAGAGCACCACGATGACACAGCTGGCACCTTCTGGCACGACAACCCCCCGCCAGGGCTGCCATCCTCGCCGGGGTGTCACAGTGACTCCACACGTGACTCATCCCTCATGGAGCCGGCGCGTGGGGAAGGCGCTCGGCTGGGGCGGGACAGCGGGAGGGAAGGGGACTTGGGGGACACCCGGCAGGGAAGGAAGCTCCGAGAAGGAGCTGAGGCGCCTTCCTGGGATCGCCCCACGCCCGTGCCTGAACTCACCCCCTGCCCCAGCCCAGAAACACATCCCACCGGAGGGGGAGGCCAAGCAACAGCCCTCAGTGCTGAGGAAACCCTGGGGGAAACCCTGACTGACTGTGCGTTCAAGTGGAGCCCCTCCATCAGAAGGATGGAAATTCCCAGGGCCAAACAGCTTCTGAAATGGTTTTTCTGCTGAACAAATGGGAGCAGAGGGTCATTTGCAAAAGGCAGAGGTATCCCAGCATATATATTAAAGGTATAGAAAGGTTATCCCAGCAACAGGAGCGGCCGCAGAGCAGTGTCCTGGATGCTCCTGAGCAGAGAGGAGACAGTTGTTTGCCCTGCCTGGCTCTCCTGGTTCTGGTCATGGCCAGCACAAGCTGTGCTGTGTGTGCGGGTGGAAGC